AGTCCCGAGTGGCAGGGTCTCGGCTTTCCTGAGCCACCCTCTCCATGATTAGATTTAATTTTATGTCCAGGAGCGAGGGACAGGGAGGCGCCTTTACGGATTTCAGGTTGCGGGTCCTCTGCAACGTCTGGCCGCTCGCCAACGCCCCCAGCACCCACTCTCAAAAGGCCGTGTTGCCCCCCCCCCGACTCCCAGGTGTGCCGAGTAAACTCAGTGCTTAAGGCCACATCGCCGCACCGTAAACTGAATGGTGACAGTACCCATCCCCAGTCTCAAATTCACAATTGCAGCGTCGCGCACAGGCGCACAGATCCCGAGACTCCGCTCTCTCTCTCTGGCTGGGGCGGCCAACCTTGCCCAGCCTGATGAATAACTGACACCAGCCCTGCGGCAAACGCTGCATTAGCATATTTTCTCTCTCCTGCACGGGGCCAACACCGGTGAGAAACACGGCACCTCTTACTTTAGCCTCCCCACACGTTTAAGACATTTCATATTCTAAGAAGTGTATTAATGGAAGCCTTAAATGGAGCAATCCACTTCCAGTCTTATTTGGGGCAAAAAAAAAAAAAAAAAAGGGAAGAAATGCTTTTGCTTTCCAAAAGAATACTCTGTAAGCTCCATATACTGACTGTATCCTTTCGCATGTTTTACTGTTTGCTCAGCTGCCTGCTGGATAATCCAGTGAAAGAGGTTTTGAAACTTCAGGGAGTTTGGTATTGTGGGCAACATGTGTTTGCTGCGGAAGATTCTGGCACTGGGATTGTTCTGGAGATAGCCAGGGGGCTGCGCCTTGGGGAGAGTGGTGAGGAACTTTCCTGAGGGGCTGGGGAGGGGACTGGAGATAACAACAGGCCCCTTCAACCTGGACACTCCAGACCTCTGAAGAATGGGCTTCAGATCCTGCCGTATTTAGGATGCTGTGGGCAAGTGCTACATGGTAATGATTTCTTTTCCAATGTCACGCTATTTATCAGCTTTAGCACTTAACTTCCCTTCCTTCCTTCTCATAAGAAGAGCTAATACATGCAAAGCACTGAGGACCATGCTCAATGAATTGTTCTCTATTTATTACATGAGATAGGATTGAAAAATACGGCGAATACTTAAACATCTTATTACAGAAAAGACAGTTTGCCACGAACTCCCCTCCAGTCGCTCCCCTTGCTTTGAACACACATATCCCACCCTTCTTGCCTGTGTCTGAAGCACTTCTGGAAGACCTCGTTCACGAGTGTCTTTGGTTGCAATGCTGAGGCTGCCTTGAGGCCCTGAATCTATTGTAATGTTTTCCTTTAGTGGTCATTTTGGCTTTAGGGAAGAGCTGGAGGTCACACGTGCGGGCTCGGTGAGTAAGGTGGACGGGAACACGGTGTCATGCTTAGTGAGCCTGCCTTCCTGTTGGGTGCCATTCGGTCCTCCATTTGCTGCATTCCCATCACGCTGGGTGAAGACACCATCGTACTATGCACAACTACCACACACTGTCTGCATTTCTCTTTCTAAATTTAAACATAATATTTTACTTACTTCTCCTTCAGCGCTGTTTCTTCCTCACAGAGGGCTTCTCTGTGTTTGACTCTGTTCCCTTTCCCGAACGTCACAAGGACCCCTTTGTCTGTTTTAATTCCCTGCAAAACAGGCGCAGCCATCAATCTTCACGATGGCCACTCTGACTAGAATAATAACCGGAACACGCTTTTCAGGATCGGCATCAAGTCACCCTCTCGCTGTGCCCTCACCTCACAGATGTGGTGGGGAACGTTCGGGCCAGCTGTTAGGATGCAGTCCAGTTCTTGGGATTTGACATTCCAGGCTTTCTCCATCTCCAAGTGGGGTGGAGGCCACTTACAAAACCCGCAGGAAAGCGTTTAAGAAGGTGTTCATTTAAAGGAAGAAGAACATAACTGATAAATTCATTCCCTTGACTGTAGTAATTATTTCAATGTGTATGTATATGTCCAACACAGTACAAATAAATGAAAAGCTTCACAAAAGGAAGATAAAGTAAGTTCTGTTTGCCCTTTGGGGAGAGATATTTGTTAATGTGCCTTTCTGGGCAGGAGAAGCCCTAGCACTGAAGCAAGAGCTTCATTTTGAAGCTGGTAGTCCTTGTTTCAAATAGGTGATAAAGATCCTCAAAGGGTCGGTTCCCCGAATCTGGACATGCACTGGAGGATAGAGCCCTCTGAGATTTAACCTGAAAGGAATCAACGTGGGACCGTTGGAGTTTGTCATTTGCTACACTGACCATTCATTGTAATTAAATTGTTGATTAGATTAGAAGTTTGCTGAAGTCCCTCTTGGATCTACAGTCCCCCCAAATCCAGTCAGGAAGATTAAAATGTAACTAATTTAGATAAAAGGGCCTCCTGTTTATTAAAACACACCACAAGTGACCTCATAGTGAAACGTACAACGAAAGGAGTGAAGAGAAAGTTACAGGTGAGTACGTGGGTCCTGGGTTAGTACTGGGAAGGCTTCCAGACCTGTTCTAATTTTTTGCATAACTGGTGACCGTTACCTGCTATTTTTCTTGTTTACTTATCAATTTACTTTCTCCAACCTCTAGAAGGTAAGCATCAGTGGGACAGGTATTTTGTCCTCAACTTTATTCCTGGCAACTCACGTGGTGCCCGGCACATGTAAGATTCTCAATACCTATTTGTTGAATAAATGAGTATGTCAGATTCTTATCATTTGATGATATTATCTGGTAATATCATGCAACGGTTTACTTTGATTTGTAAGCAAGCTTTTCATATTTGTTCAAACTCAGTACTCCAGGTGAATTTGAGAAATCTCTTTTTCCGGTCTCCTTTCTTTTTTCTGTTTCCCTCTCTGTCTCTCTCAGGATTAAACCTGTGGCTTTTGCACTGAGCTACACCCCTAGATTTATGGTTTTTATTTTGAAAGATGATCTTACTAAATTGCTGCTTCCCAGGCTGGGCTCCAACTTGTGATCCTCCTGCCTCAGCCTCCCGAGTACCGGTATAAATGCTGTACACCACCATACACGGCCAACAGTTACATTTCTTCTTGGAATCCCTTTGGTTAGTGCGTTCTCTCCCAGTGTGAAGTTCTTGTGGGCAGCTGTTCGCTTGCAGATGGCAGCTTGTAGGCCAAGCACAGGCCATGTACAATAATGTTTCCAGAAAAGTAATCACCAACATTTCAAAACTGAGAGATTGAATATTTTTAAAAAACTGTGTCTGAGGCCTTTCCTGTCCTGGCAGAAGCCCTGGCCCTTTTGATGCCTTGCAGCTTCCGTGGGCTGTGTAAGTGGCTGGTGTTCCTCAGCTTACCTGCACCCAGTGAGTAGTGCTTGGCCTTAGAGGCATCTGCCTGTGTGACCCTACATGTGTTATGTCCGAGGGCAGCAGCCTCCATGAAGAAGCGGGGCCACTCTCTTTCCCTTTGAAAGCCTCTTAAACAGTCCACCACTGTGCGACTCCCCCCAAATTGAGAAAATGAAGAAGACAAGTGGAAGATAGAATGTGATCACTAATATACTCGAATACTTTTTATTTCCTTGGTGATAACAAGAGAACCCAAAGGGGTTTTAGCTTCTAAAATTGACAGAGACCTGGTTTTAAACATCTCCATGATTCCGTAAGAGTTCAATCCAAGGAAATGGTGTCAAGGTCAGCTATCTAAATGTGCAGTTCCCATATGAAGTGGATCTCACACTGGTTTTATTTGTGTATTCATACTCATATTTGAATTATGGGTGGATATCTCACATATTGGAATGTCACGTGTCTTTTTTTTTCCTTATAGTAGTTTGATTTCCTGCTTTCAAATAATTATTTGAGAAGTGGCTATTTTTATAAGTTATTTCATAACTTCCAACTCTAGTTGTATACACAGCCCTTGCACAACACCTATATCGTCTTTAGACTTGGCGAATGTCAACTCTGACTTTTTAATAAGGAACTTGACATTTACCAAACCTATCATAAGTGAAAATGAAAAGGCTACTTTTGTTCAGAGGTAGAAGTAATAAAAATGTCACATAGTCTACCCTAAGAAAGCCACAGTGACATCTTGAGAAAACTACCTGCTCAGCCAGTACACGCCGCATTCTTCCTTCCTGGCTGCACAAAAATAAATAAGTGAGAAAGAGAAAGCTTCTGTGAAGAGAGCTACCCCACTGCAAATGCACTAGGTAGGGCCCAGTCTTGGTCAAAACTTTATTTTGCACTCTTTTCTTGAGTTGAAAAATAACTGGGGTAACAAAATGACCTAGAATTTGATGTTGGCTTGTTTGCTGAAAACTACAACTGTTATTTTTGCTTTATTATGCTTAAGAATACAGAGAGAGAGAGAGAGAGAGAGAGAGAGAGAGAGAGAGAGAGAGAGAGAGAGGGAGGGAGGGAGGGAGGAGACATGTTTTCCACAAAGGTCAAAATTTAAAAACTCAATTTCATTTTTTAAAAAGTCTTCTAACTTAAAAAAATCTTAGTGAGTTTATGCACACATTTATATAGTTTTTGCTATAGAAATGATAAATTGTAATTAAAAATCCTCTTGAAATTGCCCAAAATTTGACTGATAATGATATAAATACACAGCCATTTAAAAAATACGAACAGCCCTTGCTTCGTACCTGGGAGTGTTACCTGGAAGTCAGACTTTCAGAGACACAAAGGCTGTCCAGAGGTGAGTGCAAGGGCCAAACTCTAACCCCAGCCACACAGGAGCCTCAGTAGGAGGATCCAGAGTTTGGAGCTCGCCTGGGCTAATTCGTGAAGGACTGACTCAAAAAAATGTATCTAAAAATAATATCTTTTAGAAAAACCAATGTCTTGGGGAAAAAATAAACATATTGTCCCAGAAAGCATATTCTGGGTCCATAATTTACTCCCTTTGACAGTTCTGGTTACTCTTGTTCTTCTCTGGGTTTTAGTCATTGAAGGAAAGCTGACAGTTTTAGATTTGGCTGCAGAGAGTGCATAGACTGTGAGTTTTCCTTTGTCTCATGTAGAATCCACAGGGTGAGAGTTGGGAGAAAGGGTTATTTAAAGAGCTATATTTATTGCTCAAAGGAAGTGAAAATTCCTTTCCCTAACCTTTGTTACTCTGGGTTTGTGGAAACACATTATTGATAAGGTGATTGAAACCACAGTACCAGCAGGCACCCTGGGCAGAGCGATTTCAGTGTCTAATGCCACTCTCCAGTGAAAGGAATGAGGGCTCCTCGGAGAAATGGCTGCTTCTAGGATTGGAGTAAAAAACAATATGCAAGATGACCCTGGGGTGTTGTGTAGTGCCAGTAAGTGGGGACACACTTGACACAGGAGAAGTATGGCAAAGGGTTACAGGGGCCAGCTGACAGAGACCCTAAAGACCAAAATTGGTACAATTTGAGCAATCAAAAAAGTGCTATTGTAGAATAACCTGAATGTAACATAACTATGTATGAGCTCTTACTGATAAATGATTGAATAAGTAAATTAACAATAAATATGTGATTGACTAAATGACTAAAGAGCCAACTCTCCCATACATAAGAATCCAAATAACTTAGGTAGATATTCTGCCTTAGTTATGGTTTGGATCTTACAGTCCCCCAAAAGCTCATATGTGGAGCCTTGGTCCCAGCCAATGGCACTAGGGAGTTGGTGGAAACGTTAGAGATGGGATATAGTTGGGCAAAATAGGTCACTGGAGGCTCCCCTTGAAGAAAATACTGGGTCCCATTTCCTTCTTGTCTCTTTTTTCTGCCCTTCTACATGGAATGAATAGCCTCTTGGGCCATATACTCTGGCCACCTTGATATTTTATTCACCATAGGCCTCAAGTGTCTGGGCCAGCCATGGACTAAAAATCCTGAAACTGTGAACCAAAAGAAAAACTTTTTTTAAAATCCAAGACATCAACTATTTTGTCATGGTGGTGGAAATCTGAATAACAGAGCAATCAAGGCTTGCTACTCCTTTAGGGCACGCAGCACATAGTGTCTTCCTTGCAGAGAGTTTGGTAGGAAAGGGAGTAAGAGAAGGACAAGAGTCAGGTTACAGTGGAAAAACACTGCCTTGGACAGGTGACCACGGTCAGCATCCCCAGAGATAATCATGCTGACAGCAGAGATACCTGGCAGTATGATGAGCAGGGTGCTCTGCCATTGTGATCTTTCTTCCAGAAACACACAGCCCAGTCTAACCATGAAAATATCACACAAATCCTAGCTGTTACATCCACCGAACCCCTGAGTGGTGGCCATCACACAGAGGAAAGTTTGAAAAATGTCATAGCCAAGAGGAGCCTAAGGAGACGAGAAGAACAAATGGAGTGTGGGATCTGGGTGGGATGCTGGAACAGAAGGAGGACACAGGGTGAGAGTCAAGGACATCTGAAGAGAGGATGAACATCACTAATGTATGAGCATTGGTTCGTAATTGTAACAAATGTGCCGGACCAATGCAAAATAACAATAAAGTAAATTGGGTGTGAAGTTCTATGGGAACTCTGTACCCTTTGTGACAGTTTCTGTAAGTTGAAAATTAAAGTGACTTAACACCCAAGAATTAATTTTTCATTTTAAGCTGTAAGTCAATAATTTTACTCTGTATACCTTCCATTTCTGTGGTGATCAGGTAAAGATTTAACAATTGGGACACCAAAGTTGAAAAGGAAGAAGAAAGAAATACAAATAATTGAAAATAAATTTTTATAAAACAAGGCACTGACTGACCTTTTAAATTACTCCCAAATTAAAGGATTACATCAGTAAAATGACTGGCGACAGCCCCAGGGTCTGTCCCATGAGGCCAGCACAGTGGGGCGGACCTCAAGTCCCACGTGAGGGGAGGTATCTGTCACA